TCGTCACTGAAGTGATCAACCTCTACGTCAACAACTGGCAGCCAGAATCAAGATGCATAATCTCGGTGAAGTGAGCTACCAAGACAACATCAGCAACAAATCCTCACGCAGATATGTGGATATATGATATACACACACATATATATATATGCATGAATAAATGTATACGTGAATATATATATATATAGTTTATTTACCTATACACATATATATACATATATATGTACATCTACATTTATATCGACGTCATGTATATCTGTCTCTACGTCTATATCTATATCTTTACCTATATACCTGTACCTATACCTATATTTAGATCTATATCTAGATTTAGATCTGTATATGAACGTATATATGTTTACAAGAGCTTGCAGGGGCCGCAAAGTTGCGTGACGGGCGAGTGCTCCGTATGCTTCGGAGTCTCGTCTGGGCTTAGGGCCTAGGGTTATTGGGCGCAGAGTTCCGTAAGACATATTTGCTTTTGGACATTGCGTTGCAAGATTTCAGATCTTCACACAGGTGGCGCGCCTGCACGTGATCCACAGCTGTGACAGTTCCGGTTATAGTTGGCTTGTTGAAGATGCGAAGTTTACATGTTTTGCAAAGCAGCTAAGGAGTGAAACCTGGCGATGCTCTGTCGTGCTTAGGCTTTGTTGAGATTCGACACCAGACACACAATCAAGAGTCCTTTGCTTCGGCAAGGAGAAGTAGTGCAAAGAACTGCTAAGGTTCATCTTAAGCTTTGGGGTGTCCGTTGCGGCCTGCAACGGTGCAGCGGCATTCTTCACAAGCTTTCACATTTGGGCCTCCGTCACCTTGTGCATTGGAGGCGTGCTCGGGAAGATTGCTGATGCAATCGGCTGGAGCGCGTGTGCCGGAATAGCGAAAGTGGCCTATTACCCCTTCATCAACAAGATGACGATCACCATAAGCCTGCCGATCTTCATTCCACCTCCTTTGGGCGTCGCGGCACCATTAGAGGTGAACCTGAATCTCGGGGACCTCACCCCAGCTGTCTACAGCCACTGCGGAAAGCAGGGCCACGGGGAGTACAACTGCCTCCAGAGTATGTTTAATGCCCGGGGGCCGACCGGTGTGGCCGTTGGGGTGGACATCCTTTTGGGCGTAAAAATCCCGGTGCTAGGCACAGTTGGAAAGTGGGTTCGAATCCTTGGCTTCGAAATGGCAGAGAAGGACAACTCTCGTGAGCTGGCCATGAACAAGGCCGGGGTCACCATCGAGTACATTGGGAAGAACCCTGGTGGTGGAGAGTACTGTGGCAAGACCTTCTCCAACGTGAACTGCTGGAAGAAGGCTGGGAACAAAGGGTACCGAGCCAATGCACACGACCAGCATGGAGATCGCTTCCGCGTCTACCGGAATCCCAATGATCCGAACGACCCCAGAGCTTTGTGCGTGAGGCGCGTTGATAAGTGGAACGGCGGATGGGGCATGGAGTTGGAGTTGGCGTGCAAAGTGAACAACAATGATGGGGGAGGCGGTGGGATTTTGGTCCTACTGGGTATGACCCACCATGACAAGAAGTGCGTCTTGCCGCCTGAGCCAGTTCATTGCCCGTGGTGGGCAGGCAACAAGGGCCACCGCCTTGGTTTTGACGGACACGATGCCGGCTTCAAGATCACCGAGGAGGGTGGCCGTATTTGTGGACACTTGGAGCACCGCCGGCGTCGGCGCCGCCGCCACCGACGACGCCGCCGCAACTCCAACGGATGGGACATGAACCTTGTCCTCGAATGTGACTCCAAGGGCCACGATGTTAATTACGTTGTTCAAGACATCAACTTCGGCAAGTCCCATACCAATATGAAATGCGTTTTGCCCACTCACCGTGTGGAGTGCGAGTGGGATGCGGGCAATCATCACAAACGCGCAAACGATCACAAAAGCGGCGACACCTTCCACATCTGGAATTCTCACACCAACCACCTGTGCGTGAAACGGACGGCTGCCCGGGAGCTTTACAGCAGGTAGTTGGTTTAGTTCTCGGTGCGTCAAAAGGATGTTACGTATTACGTGCATGTGTTTTCCAGAGAGCCAGCACAACCAAGGATAAAGGGGACGGCTGGGGCATGGACTTGCGGGTTCAGTGCAAGCAATATGAAAAGCTCTGGGGCAAGACCAAGGTGGTGATCGGCAGCAGTCACTACAACGAGAGCCTTGGCATAGAACTGCACAACGTTCAGAGTTATTTGCATACTTGGTGGTTTAGGCCCTCTGCAGCTGCAAAGACTTTCACTTTCTTTCTCCCTGACGATTGACAGGAAGTGCGTTCACCAGCCTGAGAAAGGCCTTCGCTGCGCCGATGTAGCAGGCAACAGGGAGTACCGGAGCATGAACACGGACAAGGGTGACACTAGGCGCCAATTGGGGTGGGCGTAGCAGTTGTGGCCATCCGTTCTCACTGGTATCATAGCCTGCGAGGTCGCCACTTCGCACATGTTGTAGTCCGACACAAAATGCTTCAGATCGAATCTGCGGTTCTCTACATTGGTTGTGCTTTTTTGCAACCTTTTTGTTTTGTTCAAGATATTCCCGTGTAACACGTAATCATGAAACAGAGACCCCATTGTATGGACCCCTTTTATGACCCTTAAACCCGAAAACCTTGAATGACATCCCCTGACACCTTGAAAGGGATCTCGGGGTATTAATCTTACACCTTCTCCCATGTTTAGACCAGGATGCCTTCTACATTGAGCAGCGGGACGGGCATGTGTGCGCAAGGCGTACGGATGGTGGCAGGCGCCGGCGTCATCGCCGCAGAAGGAGGTGGACTGAAGGCTGGGGCGTGAACCTTGGAAGAAGGTTTGGCTTGGGGGTTTTTCGGGGCTTAGCAGTCTGGGGTTCGGACTTCAGGGGGTTCTGTTGGGAGTACTAGCGATGTACAGGGATCATGGTGGCAAGCGAGACCCTGTTATGGGCAGTTTCATTTTCAGCCGTCTCATCTTCTGGCCAAGCAAGAAGTTCATGCCGCGCAGTGAGACGGCGCCTGTTCTTCAACACTCATGGCATTGAAACAAACGGCTTCGAAGAACGGGTGATGCCGTCTGTGACTCGCTCGACCCGATGCTCCGCACACTTGGATCAGCAATGCCTGGGCACACCCGGTTGAGTTGAGTGTTCATACCAGCGGTCTGTTTGGAGCTTAGGAAGGCAGATCAGACAATCAAGCTAAGACGCAAAGTAGAGAGCACACAGGCTGTACATAGTGTGACCCAGACAGCGGAGCTACGCAGTGTCTCTGTTCTATCTGCATGCAATGGAAGCACGTCTCGCAATGTTTAGCTGTAGGAAGCATGTAGGAACGGAGACGTAAGACCTTTCAACATTCGCCATTTTGTGCAATAACGTATACTGAATACTAGCACGGTCTTGCGAGGCTGAGAGACAACCGGTATACGGGAGCATCGAATGCAAATTTATTTACCACATGCAAATGAACTGCAACCCTAGGCCCCTTTAAAGGGGTTATATGCCAAGTTTCAACTGGATACGGACATGTAAAATCAAACGGAAAACAGGATTGCATCGCGGGTTTTACCCCTAAACCCTCAACCCAATTGGTTAGGGTATGCGAGCGCTTATCTGTTGCATCCCCGCACGTGTTGTTCACATACCATCCAAGGAACTTGGAGATCGACTGCAAGGCAGAAGATTATCGAAAAGTTGTTTTGAATACAACTGTCCCAACTAACTCAAGACCCACACCCCCCCCCCACCTTATGATCAAAACCTCAACCCCAAACCAATCTATGCAACTTAGGCACGTCTGTGGCTGTCAGGAAAAGGTCTGGCTTAGGCTTAGGCCCTTGAAGTTAACCTCTTGGCATGGCTTTTTGCCTCAGTAGGTTTGCTTCTATGGGCTTTCAAGCATACACCCGACAGCAGGTCCTGCAGGGGCCTTGGGACATAGTTCCCATTGGTGGTTGTTGGACACCCTCCCACTACAGGCGCGCGGCGCGGCTCTAGAGTATTCCGGGTTTGACTGGCTTGCTGTTAAGCAACTTAATTGAAGCATGATGGGGGAACCATAGTGACAACTGTACATACCCATTATGGTAAGGTAGTTAAAGTTCTTTAAAAGCAGGCTAGTTTGGTAAGCTTAAGAAATTATGTTTTCCGGGGGTCCCACCAGTTTGGGAGATGCAGAGATATGAGCAGATACGATGACACGCGGGTCGAATACAAACAAACGACCGTTCACCACACAAGGAACCCAAATCACATCTTTTGCTGAAGGCATTTGCCCCCTTGGAAGCATGTCATCATCTGGCACCCCCCCCCCCCCAAACATAAAGCCTTAAGCCGTGCTTCCTGGCACACAAAACTGCCAGACTTGTGCGTTCGAAGTGTTTTAAGGTTTAAGTTTTAGGAATGTTGTTGTATTTTCTTGGGGAGGGCGGGGCTGATGCCAAAGCAGTGAAAGCGACTTTCGGGGCTGAAGTGGGTATTCCTCCAAAGTGTCCCCATCGAATCCTCACAAGTCATATTGACCAGCACATTCCCTCGGATTCCCAAAATATCCCTGGGGTCCCTGAGGGCCGCAGCTGTGAGAAACCCCCAAATACCTGCCCAGCCAAGCCAGGTTGAATATTAAAAGTACACATTTATTCAGAAATGCATGTGCAATAGTTGGGGATCAGGGTTTAATGTGCTTACGGCTGTTATCAGCTATTGGTCCCAATTTGCATTGGTTTTATTGTCATACTAGCTATTGGGATGTTTCTGTCGTCGCCATTAGGTTACTTGTGTCAACAGCTTCACCAGCATTACTACAGCATCACTGTTGTTGTTTCTTGCTGCCGTTGCCCTCGTTAGTGGTTCTGCTCCGCAAAGCATCACTCTTGCCCCAATCCGTATCAAGTCAAACTGTCATCTTGCTAGTTCTTATCATCTAGTTGGAGTACCAACATGGCTATCAAGGCTGATTGCATGAAGACAGTTATTCAATCCAAGCCTCCAACCCACCAGAAGCAGGGGTTGGGGTTTGGGGTTGAAGGTTTGCACTTGGGGTTTTCGCACAGCTCCACAGAATCTCATTTGCAGCTCCAAGTTTCGTGGTTTCTTGTTCTTTGGGCGAAGGCCTCCGTTTATGCGGCCTCCCCCCGATAAAGCCCGTATCAATTCCCATGTGACGTATCCTTCCACATGCAGAGTGCTTGAGGTGCTTCCTGCCAGAGCACCGGGTGGTTTGCGACCCAGAGGTCAATTGGTATCATCCTTTCGTCATTTGGGAGGATCACATCCAACGCATCTGCGCGAGGCGCTGCTGGCTCTTGGGTTCATGAGCTAGCTAAGTCCACAGAATCGCAAGGTAATGCATCATTGCGACTTGCAAAGATGTCATAGACAAGCTTTGTGACCTTGGTTGGATGAAAGTCCTTTGGAAGTTCAGTTGCTACTACATTCGTTTTGCTGGTGCCCCATGGGATGAGGGCAACTGCAAAGCTGGCTCTTGAAGATGTGCTTGCTAGTTTGGTCTAAACCCTAGACTGCCTGATCAAAGCTTAGTATCAGCCCCCGGACATGAGTACACACCAGAAAGCTCCGACGTATCGCAGGAAAATTTGCTTGGGGTGATGTCCGCTTCAAAGGTGTGACATGGACGACCTCTGAGTAGCCTATATGTTTTGTGGGTGAGGTAGGGGGTGCAGTAGGGGCTACCTTAAGAAGGACTAAACACCCCTGTCGTAGCCCTAGACTATCCCTGACCTTGTGCTGATGAAGGTGCCCCTCACACACACGCCCCCCCCCCCCCACACCATAAACCTTAAACCGCCAAAGCAGGATCTTCGCCGCATTGCGCTTCCAATCAGGAGCAAATTTGGATAAGCATACTTCCGGTTGCGAACGGAGGCCTTAACATAGGCGTTTCTCAAGTGGGATTCCGGGCATTACCTTTGTAATCCTCATTCTGCTTCCTTATTCCAGGATAGCATTTTGACATTTTAGTCTCTATCATCATCTTCCGAAGCAAACTATCCAACAATGCCCTGGGATGGCGAGAAATCCCCGCATTGGCTTCCAAAGAGATGGAGAGAAGCATGCCCTAAACTCCGAAGCCCTAAACTCCTAAAACATGGGACGTCCGATGACATCTTGCATAACCCACTAAAGCCTTATCCTCCCAACCAAACTGCTTTAACTACAAGGGTCAGGAATGGTTGTTGGGTTCTGACCGGTGAGGTGCCTTCGCAAGAAATGCCTCCCCCCCCCCCCGCACCTCTGAATTCCAGCATGTTATCTCCAGCCGCCGTGTGACCGGATGCCGTAAACCCTGAACCCTCAACCCGTGTGTGAGGCGCACGGATGGATACCACGGTTGGACCGGCAATCTGCAGTTTCTGGGTTTGAGTTCTAGGATTGAGGGTTTAGGAGTTCGGATTGAGGGTTTAGGAGTTAGGCCGCTTGGGCTTGAGAGTTCGGGCTTGAGATTTAGGGTTCAGGGTTTGGAGTTCAAGTTTAGCTTTCAGGGCGTAGGATCCGTTTTCACTGTTGGAGGGATACTATTGTCCCCATGGCTCAGCTTCATGTTTGTTTGATTGTTTTATTGAGGTGGAAAACTATCGTACTTCCTCAGACACCAAGAAAGCACCACTCATGAGGGTTAGGCGGCACTCTTATACAACCCAATTCATGCTCGGAAACTTGTGCATATCCGCATGTCGTACCCTTGTCCAGTTTCAGTCGAGGGTATGATGTAGGATCTGCAGAGAACGTTCTGTAGTCACAAGTGGGGCAGGTAACTGTCCTCCATGTTTGGGTTTCTCAGTACTCGTTTTTCTTCTGGAACCTCAGCACTTAACTTTTGCAAACCCTGAACCCTAAACCTGGTGGAAGGGTTCCTCCCAAGCTCTCCCAACCTGAGCCATGGCCACTCAGCGCATGCAGGTTGGAATGCCAGCAGAAGGAAAAGCGCTGGACAAGGGTGCAGATCAATTTTGGGACCAGCTGGAACAACGAGAAGTGCATTGATCATCACCAACATGAGTATATTCAATGTGACTTTGGCTTCGGGGCCAAAAAGCCTCAAACTGGCAAGAAACCCGCCCCTGGTAGTAATTATCGCAATTATCTCCATCATAGTACATTACACTAGACTGGGAACATGCACTATGAGCGTAGTAAGGGAGCAGGGGATTAGACAACACCTCGGCTCGCCTCTTCGTTAATGGATCGCCTAAAAAGCAGAAGGCACATTGCAGACTAGTTGAGGTGACTATCTGGCCGGAAATCCGGAATACCGCCTCTGGGGGCAGCATCATGGCGACTCCTTCTACATTGAACACAAAGATGCTGGGCTACCAGAGATCAATCTGTCCCACCCGCACCTACCAGAATGAGGCCTCTAGCCCTAGGCGTTCCCATTTTTGAAAAAGCCTCGGTTGCGCAACAGGTCTTTTTTGCCGTGTTACCCTGAACCCTAAACTGCCCTAAACCAAAACCGTGTGGCTAAGAACAACCAGATCTGTGCTCGCCGTACTGACAGTGGTGCTGGCTGGGGACTGTACCTTGGAAGTTATAGGCTTTGCGGGTTCAAGGGCTTCGGGTTCGGATTGTTTGGAGAGCGATTTGGAATACCGAGGGGTCCAAATGCACAATTACGGCATTTTTGTGTGCGAAACCCGTCCTATCATAGTATCTTGGAACCTTGGTTCCTCAGGGAATGCGATGTTTTTGTTGACGTTTTCCGATACATGTTCTTGTCACCCCAGGGGCTCATGCAAACGCCGCAGTGCGCTTGGGTGTACTGGTAGTTGGCCCTTACAACTTGCAAGTTGATACTAGAAGTTCGCAATCAACGCAGCCTCAACATATGAAGCAGGTAGCGGTGAAACATAAAAGCAGAACCGGAAAGCCTACCTGCAGTTATTTATGTTGAGGAAACACTTCATCTGGTCGCATGCAAACCGAGGAACTTGCAGATCCATTGCAAGCAATACACGTTCAAGATTCGGAAGGCGGTGGAGCAAGTTCAGCAAGTTGTGGCGAATGTTGTCCAAAATGCAACTTGGCGCATGTCAGTACGAGTAGGGCACACAAGGTTTCTCTCTCTCTCTCTCTCTTTTTCTATCTCTATTTCTATCTCTATGTCTATCTCTATCTCTCGCTCCCTATCTCTCTCCTCTTTCTCTCAATCACAATGACATGGGGGTTTCCGGAAAACAGGAAACCGTTTTGGGTTGATCTGTAAAGGGAACTGGCACATCAGGCTCGTGTGATCTGTTTGGCGGTTGAAGTGCTTACAATGTATCAATGACGTCAGCCAGGTGTCACACGGCCGCCCGTACAAGGACTGCAGACTTTTCGCCCTTTTTAGGTTCCAGGTTGGTTAAGGGGACGGCACTCAGGTCTTGGGCCGATTCCAGTTCTCCTTCCGCTGATCGGAGCCAAGCAGCAAAACCTTGCTCCAACATGGTTGCACTTTAGGGCCTATTAGGGCTATTAGGGGTGGTTGAGGGTTTAAACTTCAAGGTTGAGGGGTGAAGGGTTAACCCTACAATTTAGGGTTTAGGGGTTCAGGAGTTTAGGGGTTTAGGGTTCAGGGTTTAAAGGTTTTGTGGTTTAGGGGTTTAGGAGTTTAGGGTTTGAGGGGTTTCGGGGTTTAGGGGCTTCGGGCGGTTCAAGAGTGTAAGTGTTTAGGGTTTAAAGTTTAGGGTTTTGGTGTTTAGGATTAGGTTTTTTTTAGGGTTCCGGGTTTAGGGCTTAGAATTCAGCAGCTCTGGATCGAACAATAGTATATTAAAATTGCACTCACGGTCTCGTCATAATATACACCCACCCCTGAATTACATAATATTGATAAATTAAAAATTCGCTTTCACACTACCGAGTTCCATTTATTGCTGGTCTTAATTTCTATGATTTTTATATTGTCGTTTGCACTATTTTATATTACACTTAGATAGATAAGATCTAGTCGTCAAACTATTAAAGAAAGAATTAATAAATTAATTCTTTGTTAAGGTTCGATAAATTATATACGTAATAAAGTGGTAGGCTGGGTTGCTTAGGATTGGGCCTTAATTTACGAAAGAGGTCAATAACTATTAGGAACTTTTAATGATTGATTCGATTCGTATTTTTATTTATTCGTGATTTAAAGGAAACCAGCCTTAATTTACGAAGAAGGAGAATTATTAGGAGTGGGTGGGTTAGGATTCTGAGTCGATTCGTGGATTAAGGCTAAACCGGGTCTTAAACCACTGGATACGGAATTTGAGAGATTTTTTTCTTGTTCTACTCTGCTCTATTTGCTTTACCTTTCTTCGTTTCTGTTTTGCTTTTATTTATTTTGCTTATTGTATGGATTTTCTTTAATTAATTGCTTCTGACTCTGCCCGCTTTAATTTATATTTGCTACTATTTGCTACTTATTATTTGTTGGCCGATAAAAAATTTTGAATTATATTTTGAATTTGGCGTTGGCTCGTTGGGATAGGTTGGGACAGGTGGAGAGTTTAATAAGTTCGGGTGGGTTGGGCTGGCGGCTTGTTGGGTTTTGTTGCTCTGAGTTGTTCTTGTTTTGTCTCGCCAACGAGAATTGGGTTGGGTCGGCTTGAACGTCGGGCTGATGGAAATTGATTGAAAATGAAATTGATTTTTACCAAGATTGAAAAAAATAATTTTTGGTCGAAAATTACATATTTATTTTGATTTCTAAAAATTGTTAATTATTTCTATTTATTTCTTGTTGGATAAACTAGGAGACTGAGAATTCTGAGCCTAAGAATCGTTAATTGGCTTATATATTATTCTGATTATTATCGCTTTATATTTATTTCTATTAAGCCTCTTTTAGCTTTCCACATAATTATGCTTATACATTATTCTGATTATTATCGCTTTATATTTATTTCTATTAAGCTGCTTTTAGCTTTCCACATAATTATAAAATATATTAGAATTATTTTAGAAATTATTTTTTGAACACCAATTTCTGAAATATCAATTTTGGGATTTTAATTTGTATTATTCTGAAATTTATGAATTTAAGATTCGATTTCGTATATTTCATCTAATTGAATTTAGATTGGATTTTTTTCTTTTTTATATATGGTCTATGACGAAAAAAATATTAATTGAATTTAAAAGAAATTCTGAGAATTTTTATATTCGATTTCTTATATTTAATTTAATTGAATTTCGATTTGCTCATTATTTTTCATATTCTATCTCTAGTATTTCTATTACTTGAATTTATATATATATATATATACGAAAACTTATATTTTAATATTTTGGGTTTATCTTAAATTCTATTTTTGTATTCGAGTATTTATATTTCTCTTCTATTAATTTAATTTTATATTATCTTAGAATCTTTTATATTCTATTTTTTATCTTAATTAAGTGAATTTAAATCTGTTGTATATTCTTTTATCTTTTCGCTTTATTATTCGATTAATTCAATGAATAATTAGAAATAAATAGGAATATGTCGAGAGCCCCGACCGGTAGACATATATAGACCCAAATAATTACACAGATAAATAGAATAAAGAAAGGTATACAGAGAAAAAGAGAGTGAGAGCCAGAGGGAGAAAAAGCCGAGATAAAAAGGGGGAGAGAGAGATAGAGAAAAAAGAAGAGAAAAAGAGAGCTATAGAGACAAAGAAGAAAATCGGAGAAATAAAATATTTAGAGAGAAAAGACAGACAGAGATGAGAGGCAGCAAAAAACAAATAGAAAAAGAGAAATAATAAGATAGAGAAATTCAGAGATATAACAAAATAGAGAGACAGAGATATAGAGAGAGACAAAGACAGATATGAAGATTTATAACAATGACGGGCGAGCGGGCGGGCGGCCGAGCATATGGGCGACCGGGCACATGTACGGGCGGGCGGGCGAATATGTGCGGGCAAGCACGTAGATTCAAGCAAGGACAGGGACAGAGAGAGACATAAAAAGAGGGACAGAGACCGAGAAAGACATAGAGAGAGAGAGAGAGAGACACAAACCAGAGATAGATATAGAGCAGAAAGAGACACAGACCAGAGAGAGACACGTAGAGAGAGACAAAAAGAGAGTTGGCAGGAAGCCAGGCAAGCAAGCAGGCCGGCAGGCAGCCAGGCAGCCAGGCAGCTAAGCAGCCGGCAGGCAAGCAGGAGGAGTTAAGGAGGCAATAGTCAGGTAGGGAGCCAGGCAGGCAGGGCCAGGGAGCCAGGCAGACAGCCAGGCAGCCAGACAGGCAGATAGCCAGCCACCCAACCCAGACAGACAAACAGACAGACAGACAGACAGACATCGTTCCCTCGACATCTGAGGGGTCGGCACACCCGTTTTAGCTTCTGAAAAGGGTCTGTGCCAGGGTTACTTCAAGATGAAGGGGTCAGTGTATTGTAGCGACAAGACCTAGAGGGCACATATTGAAAAGGGTCTGTGGCAACCATATGCGTCCAACAGCTTGATCCACCCATTTTTAGTTCAAAGCCCGAAGAAGGTAGATTCGTCTGCTTTGCACCTGGGACCTATGATATTATAATCGACCTCATTCTAGCTGCATTGCACATCAGTACGTTCGTGACAGATGTCGCTCTTGGATTGAGTTGTGAGCCAATATGGATAATGTCTTGCTTGCTCGCTTGCTTGTTCGCTGGCTTGCTCGCTTGCTTGCTTGCTTGCATGCTTGCTGGGGATGTGAGGAGTGACCTCACCGCCCCGTGGAGCGAGCTCTCTAGGTCTTAAGTTCTCTCTCTTTCTCTCGAGGGTTGACGGCTGTACGATATTATAAGGTTCAGGGTTTGAAACCGGTGGGACCGATCCCACCAATGGTTTGTAGGGTTTGGAGCCCCGGCTTGGACGCACGCACAAGCAGACACAGACACAGACACACAGACACAGACACACAGACACACGGATGAAGAGTTGCCAACTCAGTTGACAAGTCGTATTGTAAATATAATCTCTGGGGAAGATCTTGAGGGAGAGGAAGAGCTGGTAGGGGTAGAGGTAAATGTCCTGAAACCTAT